CCTTGTTCACTGTAAATTATTTATCAGATAATTTTTCTGAAAATGTTGACCTATCAAAATCAAAATTCGAAAGAGTACTTAGTTTTTGAGTTATTTAACTTCGTGTACTTACCAAGAAGTAAGGATAATGGGTACAAGATAATGGGTTTGGAAGATATATGGGGGTTAAGGTAATCAAACGATTTTAATAATTTATATTAATCCATCAATATTTATAACTTATTGGTTCAAGTGACCAAGAGTAATAAATACTAGATCCGATATTACATAATACATATTATATTTTAAACTATTGTAAAAAGGAGAGATTGTGATTTGAAAAACAGAAAATTGTATAACTGCAGAACACTTTCAAAACTCAAAACTTTTCATAAATTTGACAGGTATTGAATGAAAAAACGGGGTGAGCATGCTTGCGGTGAATCACTCTGTATAATATGGTAATAGACACTCGACGGACGAGGAGACCGCTTTAATTGTCCGTAAAAGAAGCGTATCGACGAACGTTAGACGCGTGCCGACCATAATATACAAAACTTGCGTAGGTACCTGTTGTAGCTAACCTTCCTGGTACCTAGTACCCTACTAGTAACTAAAATATTATTGGTACAACTCGACGAAAACCTAACTAATGCGATTCAGCCGTTAGTGTCGCACAGCATTTGAGATAGGTACCTTGTACATATTATATACATATAATATTTTATAGATATCGTCAACGTCGCGCCGTTTCCTGCAGAGGTCTTCACCGCTCGTCGTCGCACGGCGGTGGTCGCCTGTCGCGCGCGTAAATAATGCCTTGTTTTCCTCCGCGAAAACCCTTGCAAAACGACTGGCATTTCCTGACCCGGGAAGTGGCGCACGAGTGTTTTCTTTCTTTCTTTCGGCTTTTTGTTCCCCCCCCCTGCCGCCGTCCGAAAAACGAACAACTCGTCATTAACCATATTATTATACAGTTTCTTTTTTTCCGCCATCGTTTTTTCCCCGCCACGCGAACTTTTCGACATGCCTCGTTCATGCTATATATATATATTATATATACGCGCATTATATAAATAATTGTGCTGAACTCGCGACTTGCGGCCTACGGTTCGCAGTCGTTCAACGATAGTGCTCACAGAATCTCGGGATGTTGGTTTTTTGTTTTGTATATTATATAATACGATATATCGCATATCACGTGATTAATATCTGACAGAATCTCAAATTTATCGCATGAACCGCGACAAGAAGCCGCTGAGTACGATATATAGTCTTAGAAATAACAACGTTATTAAAAGATATTTTTAAACATATAAAGCGTGTCATTGTACCACTGCACTGTACATATAGCATATTAATAATAATGTAAATTATTTACTAAGGTAAAACCCTAACCGAAACAAAATCCTACGTACGCTACTGAATACTCGCCAAAACTTCTATTACCTTATGACTGCATCTCGATCGGAAGAAAAATCGTGTACTAGAAATCTGCCAGTATGACGATTATAATTTATTATATACTAATTGAAACTGCAAATTAATACTATAATAATATTATATGGGAAGGTATAAGTGATTTATATGTTGGTGTAAATCATATTATGTTCGGAGTATATTATCAGGAGTAAGTAAAAAATCATCGAGTGCCATTATATCCTAAATATTAACTATTTCAATTTTAAGTAGGTACATACTTTTTTTTTCAATCCAGTAGGTGCACGCCCTTATCAGCACCACAAGCACCTAGCTCCATTATATTTACATACCTATGCTGTACAGACGTAGGTATTTAGAATGTAGGACGTATAATATTCTAATGATGCACAAGTGCTTATTATTGTATTTTAAATGGTTCGTTTTACACGTAATAATTGTTAATTTTAATGGTTCCATGAATTTAATGCTTAAAATAAAAATACTCGCATAGGCAGAATAAAACTAAAGTCAATAATTCATGTAAAAACTTGTAAAGTTGACGAAAAAGAATATTATAAAATAATGTTTAACACGACCAAACTGTTTTGTATAGTTATATAAAATTTTATAAAATAAGTTTATACTACTATTATACCACACAACTTTAGTTTTTTTTTCACCTAATAAGACTTCAAAATAACGTGAAACTTAAAAGCAAAATAGCTATTATACTTGCATGAGTTGAAATTTTTTTTAACATTTTCATTTTACCTACCTACATCTATATGCTTTTTTAAACAATATATGTGTCAAATAAACCCCATACAACTTTACAGGGTAATCGTGATGAAAGAAAATGTGTACCTATGTTCCAATAGAAAAGAACATTAAAAATAAATAGAACAAGCTGCTATATTAATTTCCAGAACATTTTTAATACATTTCTGAAATTCATCGAATTTCCTTCAATTATTTAAATCATTTTATACTTTCCATAAAAAATTATGTTCAGTATTTGTTAAGTCACAAACTTTTTCATGTTTCTATATAATATTTTATTTTTTATTGATTTAAGACTCAAACAAATAAAAACTTAAATTACGTATTACCAACAGTTTATGCAGATTAGATTAATATTAGGTACTATTCTAGATTTTTACTAAATAAAAGTAGACCAAAAATTTTTAGGTTGGCCCAGTTGGGTTGCATGATTTGTTTGTAAATTGCAATACACTGATATAGGTACCTAAGTACCTATATAAATACATGTTTTAGCTTATGTTTGTTTTGTACTTTTGTTACGAACTCAGTAACTCACTTTTCCAGTAAATTTGTCATTTAACAATGACACAATGTAAGTAGAAAATATAAATATTAATTTTATATCCTTAGGGAAACTAAATTATTCAACTTAATTTGAGTTAAAAGCATATTGTAAATAAAATGTAAATAGGGGTAATTTAAACTAAACCTTAGACGCCAATGTTATTTAGATCAATAATAAAATTAAAAATTAAATATCCTAAGAATCAATATAGGTACTAAATTAGCTGATGCAAAATTTGAAAAAACTATAAGTTAGTTGAGAATTCTAGACTCAAACAGTTTTATGTAATTACATTTATCTAATACAATTTACTGGCTATATTTCATTGAAAAATTGTATTTAACTGTTACGTTTTTTCTTTATATATATTAGGGTACCTATACAAATAGTAATACATACACGTAAATGTAATATTATTTTTCTCTGCTTATTTCAAAATCGTATTAAAAATATGTTAAAATAATATATCAAATCGTCGTTACATTTTTTCCTACGTACCTACCTATTTCCGTGTGTTAATAGCTTGGTGTATAATACAAGGTATAACAATATCGTTGAATTTTCGTTACAAACAACATTTACTGCGTAAATGTTAATGCAAGTTTGTTTTCATAAATAACTCGACCCAACAGCTCACACAATATACGTGACTGTGTTCTTTATTAAAACAGATTTTATAAGTAACTTTTAAATATTTAAACCTCCGCGGTGTTTAAGTTTTTCATTTCGACGATTCAGCTGAAAAATGATTAATGGACAGCGTTTTTTTCCTCCATAATCCATCAACGTTCATTTCAATAATTGTACATCATATTAAATTTGGTCATGAATACAGGAATCGTTTTATATTGTTAATATTTTTTCTCGTCCACAATGCCGAGTAATAATTATAATTTATATTTAATAAACAATTAATGAATATATAGGTATATAAAAATTGGTTTTCGCCCTGGGCCTAGCAAAACCTAAGGACGACCCTGCATATACCTCATTAAATTGTTTACGATGACTTTATTTAATATGAATAGTATGACTATATGTATAGTATAATACTGGGTTGATGTGTGTTTTTTAATGTTTACATAAAATAAGATTGAAACATTTTTAAACAAATTTTAAGTAAATTACGTAGGTACGGTATATTGTAATAGACACTCGATATAATAGCAACATTAAGCATTATATATATAGGTAAACTACATACCACCACCACGTTACCACAAAAATACAAAATATATTCTTGTAGGAGTTTATCTTCCATGTGTGATTCCATTAAATTACTCAACTACTCGCTGCAGGTTTAAAAACACGTAATCAAACTATTAAGTTGACCGAATTACTTTAATTATTATTGTTGATGGGTATTTTAAGGATAACCAGAACTAACATGTAAATGGAGTTTATAGATAATAGGATTTAAAAAAAAATATTATATTATGTATTACAATAATTCTACAAATGTATATGAAATAATGAATACTTGTAATACAAATATACAATCATTGTATTAGTTAAAAATTATAATGTTTTAAGATTTAATTTATAATTTCAATTAAATTACTACACATTCTCCTACCTATTTCGTTATTTAGTTATTTAGCAGTATAAAACTTTTTTTTGTAGTCATAATACTAAGCCACACTTGGGTATTTTACTATACCTATACGGCTATACATATTATTTTAATTGATCTATGTAGGTACAACCGAAGCGTAAATATCATAAATATGACTGTTTTACACATATCGAACCTGTTCTGTTTATTTATTTTTTAACTATAAAACATTTTCAAATATTTTATTTACCAATTAAAAATATAAATAAAATATTTAATACATTTTCATTACAGTTTTATCTCGTTTTTCATATTTGGAATGGTCATATAGGGGTGTATAAAAAACAGTAAGATTCAGAATACATATATATTTATATTTTAGCATTTTTTTAAGCATAAACAATATTTTAACAACCATCAAATATATCATGTATATATAGATCCTGCTTTTCATCTTAAGTATCAATTTTAATTTTCGAAAAAGTCAATGTTTTATAGGTACTACTACATAAAATGGTGGTTGATTATTATTACAATCATAAAACTAAAGTACCTACCTACGTACATTTCCACTTAGATGAAACAAATTCGCTACAATGACAATTACATTAATATATATTTTTTTTTTTAAATTTTGAAGACATTTACAATCAAATTATTTGTAAGTGAAACTGACTTTAATAATATATATAATTTATATTTATTTATAACTTTTTATTATGATTCACCATCAATTGACTGCAGCAATTCTTCTCCGGAAATATAACCATCGTGGTTGACATCGATTAGCTTTTCGATAAAATGTTTGTATTTGTTCTTCAATATTTTTTCCAAAGACACTTCCATCGGTATACTGTGGACAAGTGTTATTATATTATTTTATATTTCGTTTATGTATAATTTTTTTAATTTTACTGTATAAAATATATATTAGATTAATTGTCATTACTAATGACTAATGGTAATATTCATGGTATTTGAAACATATGACATAACTCAATGTAATTTCAATGTAAAATAATTATATCTCTATGACTCTATATGCTCTAATTTACACAACCTACTACACTATATACATTTCTGCAATAAGTTAACATATAATATATTTATCTAATACAGATATTATAGTGTATTATATATCATATATTTTTTGTTTAATTTATAAAAATGACAAAAATGTTTGTCATTAACTTTCATAAACAATCAGCCCTACCTATATCTATATGTATATTATAATTGTATATACTATTGTTATTAATGTATTATTATAGTACTGAGTAAAATATTTTAAAATAATTTATTTTATACATAGATAGAGTGCCATATAGCTTATACCCATGGCAGTATGATATCTCGTGAAGTATTTTTCCAAGCAAGATATCACTCGGTTTTCTCGACATAACCCACTTGTTGTTCAACTGCAGCGGCAGGTAGGTACCGTCAAACAAGAAACGGACAGCTGATATCTATCACCGCCGGGACGTGTTAAGTCGGCAACCGAGAATTTTTATGTACGCGGAATGATTCATTTTAATTTTGGCGAAAACCGTACGGATTTAAATCTCAGTGTAAATAAAATAGTAAAAAAACACCACTATCCGCAGATGGAACGTGTTCCGCGAAGCAGTTATAAAGTTGTTACAGTCCGGTGTGTGTGGGACTATAATATTATAGTCTATATTTTAGATTGTACCACGCAGTCCATTATTCTCGACCAATAGATACGCCGTTGCAGTGGGTTACGCCGTTTTTTTCCCCTTTTATATTAAATAATATTTCAGACCGGACATATCAGGAATACTATATACATTCTGTATATACCCTCGCACCGCACTTCTATTTTCCTCGGCAAACTTTCATTTAGACCTTAACAAACATCCCGGGATCCGATATCCACACGGACCAAAAAATAAATACGCCAGTAGAAAATGTTATTCTTTATTTTCCATTCGTTAAAATATTGACACGCAGCAATGGGATTTTCTAGTTATTTCCTTGCATTATATGAAGAAAAAAAATAACTGCGAATATTGGAATGTATATAGCGGAAGTGGTTTCTGAGCGTAGATACTAGATATATACGTAGATACTATACATGTCATTGCAGTTAACAAGTCAGGATAAAAAATAGACACCACAACAATAATTATTATTATGTGTTTTTTATCACTAACAATATATTATTTAGGGTCACTCAGCAGGTCATATTTTTGTGTGTAATCGAAACGTGTGGGTCCAGTTGTAGCGTAGTACGAAAAGTGGATCTAATAACTAATTTGTAACAGTATATTTTATAATATTATTGGTTTAGTTAATAACAAATAACAATCTGTGAAATATATTTAAATAAACTAGGCGAAGCCTCCTACTCGTGTTTGGGTACTACTGCTGTGACCACTAGAAAGTGTGTAATACGAGAAGTGAAAAAAAATAATAGGCCCTGTCACTTAGCCACTTAGGTATATGTTACAAAAATAGCTAGACTAATATTATATCACATACTGTTTATTTTTAAAATAATTTATGATAATCCTTTAATAGGTATATTATACATAAAAACATTTTTCTAAATCATTTTTTGCCTGTTATTGTAGGTAGGTACCTGCCTACTTAGGAATTTATAAAAAATATTTCATTTCGAACACATCTATAACACTGTCTTTATATTAAACATTCCTACATATTGTTTTAATAAAGTTTGGAGTTTTAAATTTTTGTCTTTATCACTGTAATTGTTTACTTTTTTTATTATAAATATTTGACATAGGCAAATGTTATCAAACCTTAAAACTCTAAGTGATCACAAACAATTTCGCATTTATTCACTATCCGGTGTTAGTGAATCAAAATGTGTCTAAGAAAAACATTTTAATAAGTAAAAAAATAAAAAAAACTTATATAATAATAAATACAATACTATATAAGGTATAGTAATATTTGAAAAGATAAATGTAAAATATAAAAAAAATTACCGATAAAATAATCAATGATTAATATTTAAAAAAATTTTTTTCAGAAGTTACCTTTAATTATTTTTCAGAATTTTAAAATCTGCAGGATTTTATTATTTTTTTAAATTTATAATAAGAATAAAGTCATTTTAAAAGTTGAAACAAAAATGGTATAGACATAGTACTATAATATATATATTGATTGTTTGAAAATTGTATTGAACGATGACGCAAATCTAAAAGAAGAAGGAGCTAGAGAACAAACAATTATTTCAAGTTATCAAAATTAATTAATGTTATTTTATATAGTTATATTACAGCAGGGTAGATACTAGATAGTAAGCAGTACCTAACTATAATATTCTATATTTGTGTGGTCGATCATTTTGATTTATCATTGTCGAGCTATACGGTTAAATTATTACTAAATATTATTTATTTTAATTCCAAAATGTATTTAGTTTTAATGAACTCTAATACTCAAATAATTTTAATTTGATCATATTAATAAAATAATAAATTATAGAAAGTTAATTACTTTTCGTTCAATAATGTAAACAGTTAGGTAATTATATTTATTCAAATATTCTATCTAATACACCATGGTACTATTGAAATATATATATTATATATAGACAACTGTACAAGTATATATTATATATTAATTATCATGCTAATTAATGCCAATTAATCATACTAATCTGCTAATTTAAAGAGCCTTGAATTCTTTTAAATAAGCTTGGGCTCAACTTTAAAAACTGAGATATTATGGTATCGTTCATTTAGCGAGTATTTTAGCTTAAAACTTCTAATTGAGAAGAAATTGATCGTGTTCGAAACGCTCAATCTTAACTAATGGGTCATTAAAGAACATTAAATACCGTCAGAAGATCAACCGTAGGGTTAGATTTATTGTGAAATCAGTACATGTATATTGGTTCACGTTTCATACGATTATATTTACGTTTCAAAACAAATTAATACCACAACTATAAGGTACTATATATATGTATACCTAAGTGTGTATAAAAGGAAATTAAAGTAAAATATAATACTACTAATTTCTTATAAAATAAGGAACGCATTGAAAAATAATATGATTTGAACCATACCTATTTATAGAAGTAAAATTACCCCTTAGAATTATGAAGTAGGGTCATTGGACTACCTCCCTCCTTGGCCGTCCAGTCCTGTATACTTGTACCGGGGATATTACCTATTGTCCTATCGTATATATTTTATTACAGATCTTATATTTATTCTTGTTTGTTCTAAAAATTAGAGGTTAAATTTTAATACTTCAAGTATTATATACATTTTAATTGCGATTATTCGAAATTGTCCAGAAGGTGTTAAGACTATAAGAACAGAAGGTGTTAAGCCTCTATTTTTGTTACCCTCGATTCGGACGACGACTCTGTTATAATGTTGTTAATCTACCAATATTTTCATAACCACATAAACTAAACGCACTCGAAGAAAACTTACTTTTGATTGAAGCTATCTTCTTTGTTGTCCACAAATAAATCCAATGGCATTAAATTCATGTAATGGTCGGTTCGTTTACCGAACCCTCTAGCTGTAGATAAGTCCATATTTTTGAAACCTCTTATAGTTCTTCCTTTGTCTCTGTTTTTATGTTTAAATTCGCTATCTTCAAACGCCGGGTATGAGTTGACGACGGCTAATATCAAAAACGTGATCTCTATAACCAACAGTCGGACCATTATGTTGTTGTTGACTGCCATGGCTCGAAAAAATCTACCTGAAACACATCAATGGATATTTTGTATTTACTGACAGAATTAATTTTTGAGTTGCTTTTTATCATAATGTAAAGTACTTGTAAGTACGGAACTGATTTTTGAAACACCATAATATTATATTTTTACTAAAATGTGTCTAAAAATCAGTGATAGCATTAATAGCATTGTACGAAAATGATCTTATTAGTTTATTATAGTGATTGATGCAGACACAGGGCATTTATATATTCCAGTGCCAGGGGAGGACGTCCCCCCAGATTCCCGCCAAAACTTGTTTTATGAAAAATTGTGTCATTAAGTAACAGTTGTTGACAATTCGAGTTCTACAAAAGCTAGTGAAAAAAAATTAAATTCTCCCCAAAAATAAATTTCTGGCGACAACACTGATAAATGCATGTAACGTGGAACAAAATTAAGGGGTATTTATTTTATTTATAGAGATGCTCTGTTTGTTTGTTAGATAATGGTATAATGTGTAATAACATTTTACTCGTATGTACCGGAAATCGGTTGTTGTAAAAGCTGCGAAATCACAGAGATTCCGAAAAACCTGCCAGCAGTCTTAACATTATAAGATATTTTGCTATCAGCTGCAGGGTCGACTCTGTGACTTTGTATTACACGTTCGCATTACTCAGATACACGTTCGTTTTTTAAAAGAATAAAATTTTATTGGACTTGTGTTAAATTTAATCCGCATATAGCGCACAATGACTATCGTGTAAAAAGTTTTGAATAATAGTAGGCTGACGGAATCCCACCAAGCAAACTATAACTTTATGCGTTTACAGTTTTAAACGATGTTTTTCCGCTCTTTTATTATACTATATATTTTTATAAATCTCTGACCTATGACATATTTTTGATGGTTTCTGCTCACGTATGTCGCATATGTATTATTATATTTATAAACTTTCTATAAACTCTTATATTACCGGAAAGGTCCATATTCAACGTTTCTAAGACGAGATTGAGTTTCCCGCAATACAATATACAACTCACTTGAATGACGTAATGTATATGTTGTAGGTACTATTATACCTACTTGCATATACTATGTATCCCACAATGTAACTCTTTTTAACAAATTATTAAATATATAGGTTAAACATGGTGGTGTATAATGTTTCTAGTTCATATATGACTAGGTATACAAATTTATAATGATATTAATAAACGATAAAGCCAATTTTTTTAATACGTCTAAACTTTCATCGCCACAAATTATTTGATTACTTGATATAATCTGATTTTAAAGCATACCTACATTATAGAATTAATTATGATTTATAAACAAAAGAGGCGAATTATGGAAAAAAAAGTTCTGTTTACTATTAATATTCAATTTAATTAAAACTCGTAACACAAACATGAAGTAACTATACAGTCTATAGTCAAAAGGGATATATATTTGCTCTATGTGTAATCTAGAGTAGTATTTATATTAAAATCGAATCGATGGATATTATCAAGAAATTTTGATCACGAAACCCTATATACTATATATACATTAAGGTACATAATATTCAAATACCGATAAATGAAAGCATTCTTTACAATATAGTTGTTATGTGTTCTAAAACCGTATAATTTGGTTAGTACTTTTGCTATTTTAAATCGTATCATCTATTCTATTAATTACTTAATAATGTGGAAATTCAATTGTCTTTTAACACTTCTAATTTTTTTGAATACCTACCACCTGATTTACACACTAAACTGAGATAAAAACATCTAATTAAAGCGTTTTTAAATCAAACACAATTTCAACTTAATATGATATAGATTTTATCTGTAAAACAAACATCTATACATATTAGGCATATCATTATTTTTTAATTTAAAATTCTAAACTCGTGTTTGATAATTATTGTATTGGTCTGCTTAATAGTGTTTTAATTACTTAAATGCTTAGTATTTCAAATGATCAAATTCAGAATTCCTATCAATTCAGTGTTTATTTCATATAGGCTACTTAGCCGCGTTTTAAAATCATTACGGTTTTCACATTATGAGACATGTAAGAATATTGTAGACATTTATTTTTTGGTAAATATAATACGTTGTCCGTTGTCCGTTGTCGTATACATTATTAATGCGTAGAAAAAATAATATACGGTGATATTATATATTCCGTCCTTCTTTATAAGCTTTTTACATTATTTAAAAAGAAAAAAACTTGAAAATACAGTAAAACTTAATTAGTTTTATGGTGGAAATTTCATAAAATAATAAATAAACCTTTTAAAAATAATTTATTGCTCAACTTAAATATAAATGAAATATTAACTTTTTGGATCAAATGCTGTATACCTATTATGAATATCATATTTACAAAATTAAAACAAATATACAGCCTATTTACATAATTTGTTTTATGTGTAAATAGGCACTATAACTAGGTACCTATATAAGCGGAGTGATAACTGATAAATAAATTATACAAACACACACGTGTTGCATATTTTATGGATAAAGTAGGTTGGGACAGACATAAATATCTGTCGGCCCAGAACCAAACAATGATTGCAATCTCCTAGAAGATATCGAAACTTGAACTTTTGGGTTCAACGAAACATACCAAAAACATGACCACTCGACAGATAAATACTATAGAGTATTAGCATAGAAAAGTGTTCAAAACGTCTGTTTTAAAACAAAACTATCGTATATAAAGATATTATAGGTACTGGAAATAATTTTTTTGAAATTAACGTGATTTAAAGATGTGAACTTTACATTAATATATAGTCTTTATGCTATCCACAAAAACGATTGATAATCAGATTTAACCTAACACAATATATTAATTTATCAAATAAATTATTTCATTTATAAAATTAATGTCCTATACAGTGACCAAATTTACATACGGAAATTTTAACTTTTTTCTACTATGGTCTAATTTAACTTTTTAGTTTTAAAAATAATATGTGGATTTGAATTATCTACGACTCTTCTAAAATATGGATGAAAACTTTTTTTTAGTTAAAAGCAATTAGCATTTAATTACCACTGTTCTGTTTTTTAATTTTTATAATGATTCAAACAATAGGTGAAAAAATTACATTTATTGTTGTAAAAGTTTAAACAAAACCATATTATTTGATGAACAACTTCTTTAAAAAATAACTCAATTGAATACTGATTTAAGTAAACCTGTTTTAGGTTACGTTAATTTTGGTAACAAATTTTAATAACCATTCATAATTTAACGATTTATACAAACGTTTAATTACTGCCTAAGTTCTTTAATAAGAAAAACAATTTCAAATTTAGCGATCAATTATCATTTTAAGAAACACTATTTTTAGAGTCGAGTCTTGTGAGATGTAATATTGTTATTAGTACTGTATGCGTATTGCATATTATCATTTATCATAATAAAATACAATATACATTATTTATAAAATTGATATTGAGTGATACAAATGTCAAATACTAAATTGTAATTATGAAAATCTAACAATGTTATTCGATGTCGACTTTTGTAAACTAGGCAGCTTGTAATTATGACGCCATTTAAATAATTGTTAGACATTTTATACGGGATTTACTTAGAGAAGGTTATGAATTATAACTAATTTCTATAAATCTGTCCCAAAGTATAGTGTTTTATAACGTGATAAAATAAAATAACTAAATAATACGTGTGTATACTGTTTAGTACCTGGTACTCATAAATGCATAATGCATAATATAGACATATTGGCCAAGTATGCTCAGACCCGTTTTACTTCAGTAATGTGGTTATCCAAAATCCGATTTTTGTAATTTTTGATTCCATTTTATATATACAGCATAATAATATACTTATAACAATATATTTATAAAGAAATGCGTGGGTATACGTGAAAAAAATATTAATTTTATACGTATACGGTGGGCGTATATGGTGAATGGAGAGCAATGATAGTGTATTATTTGTTTTATTCTGTTTTATATTGTATTTTTCATTCTGTGGTTACCCGACTCCACCACCACCACACCGCTTGAGATCCATATACAATGTAATCATAAATATAGCTACGTGTAAATAGATCACCTGTTGAAAAAATGTACAGTGGATAAAAATAGATATATTATCGACATAATATCATTTTATTTATTTATTTTTATTTCATAATTATTAATTACATATTAATAATGATAATATTAGTATGCACTGAGAGAATTCTGGTGCGGGCCCAGGAGTCCATATCATATGAACGATTTGTCCATTATTCTTGTTAGTTGTTTATGTTTTTTTGTTTTAATTAGTGTTGTTTGAAAACAAAAACAGTAAGCAACAAAAGTATTTTTTTTTGATTAGTTTCCTAGCGTAGAGGGAAAAATTATTTGTGATACAATATGGCGTGGGTACTTTAAAATATTATTTACTAATGCATTCCTGCTTAAAGGCCAATTTTTTCAATATACATATATCGCATTATTCAACTATTTTGTTGTAAAGTTAATAACGATGAAGTGGAAATATTAATATCTTGTAAATGTCGTTCGGGAAAAGTACTTAAATTTATTTATTATCATCACATTTTACAGATGAAGTGGCTGCGTCGCGGTCGGTCGCGGTTTCGTAATAATATTCGTTATCAAATCACAGCCCACGTGTACCTACTTACTACGCCGTCTTTAGTTTTTAGACTATTTACTAACAGTGTAAAAAAATTCATTCGCAACAGTAAATTCTTATTATTTGCTGATGACTCAAAGACTAAAGCTGTTGTCAGTAATTCACTGTCGCCTACTTCAAAGTGATTTAAACGCATTAGATGCTTGATCTGTTAATTTTGGTTTGGATTTTAACGTCACTAAATGTCACTCTTAAGTCTTTTTATAGAAATTGGACTCACTTGGAATTTAAATACTTGCTGCGTGGTACCTGTCTTGTTATTGATGATAAACGATGTTGGAGTTGTACGAGTATATTATGATAGTTATTTGAATTTTCGTACCCATATCTATTGATGTGTCATGCTGTACAACTTGGAAAGCACTAGGATTTTTTTTAACGGATTCGCAATGAATTTAAATTATAATACAGTTCCGCTTACAGCATTACATTGCCGCTTGTAAGGTTTATTTTAGAGTTTGTTGTTGTTATTTTGGACCCTCGTACTGTAAGTGATATGAACCAACTTGAAAGGGTTCGATGAAAGTTTTTGTGTTTTTCTGGAAATTGATCATATACCTCATGATTATAATATTATGATTTATAAACTAGTATCAAATAAGTTATGTTTACAGTCCTCAGCTGATACGCGACGTATCTTAAACAAGGTCTTCCACGAAAACTTATCGATGGGTCGATTGATTGTCCAGAGTTACTTCCATAATGGTTAACTTTAAAACTTTTTGTATTCGGGTCAGTTTTCCTTATCCATTCTCTTTGCCACTTTGTACGACAAACTATTCCCAGACAATCTATAGAATGATGCGTATTGCAAACAAAAGTCCATCTTTTAGTTTTTAAGTTATCCTAATGAGTTAATTTTTTACTTAGATCTGCCTCAGGTATTGTGTTATGCATTTTTGAATTATTGGATAAATAATTTTGTTAAATTGTTTACTGTACATTGGGTATTTAAATAAAATAATAGAATATAAAATATTGAGATTTGTAACCTACTCGAATTTTGACAAAATTAAACGTACCGTGATTGTTACCATACATATTTGACATATTCATCGGGATTCGGGAGTGTACGAGTTACCGTCCCGTCGAGCAGTAAATACTCAGGTCACTTGTCTTAACTTGGGGTGAATGTATGTAACGACTAACGATGCTGGTAAATTGCTGCTCGACCTCCATCGGTGGCTTGAGACAGCTGTCCAAAGCATCGTCTTTGTCGACCAAACCCTGGGCCAGAAACACATCAATGGTCTTCGAAAATTTCACCTGATTCACGCCAAACCCGAATCGGCGACCGGCCAACTCCGCCTCGTCTGTCCAGTACCTAATTTGATCGCAATTCACGGGTTCCGTCGATTAACTCAATGATTGTAAGTATACTAATTTTATTCGCGAACAAGAACCCTTGTGTGGGTGCCACAATAGTGCGTAATAATCCCTTGCAATTGATCGTGCAAAGTGTAAACGGATATTCACGAAAATGATTATTATTCTTAAACAATTATAATAATAATATGATTTATTTATGTAAAATCATAATCCTGTATAGTTTTCAATAGGTATAACGATAGGTTAAACAATTAATTTGTATATTGTGTACCATGGCCGTGGAAATCCAGCGCAGTTCAAATAATAGAGAGTGTAAAAAAACCATTGGATTTCGGGATACAACTAATCGGTTCCATCAATTAACGATTGTTGTATGTAAGAAAGTGTAGAACTTCAGAAGAGGGGTGTTCGATGTCAGTTAACTAATTCTCATCACTGATAAGTGATAAGTTTGAAATTGGCCAACAATTTATTTATTTTTTTTATTTATTTATTTATAAATAATTTAACTGACCTAATTCCTTTATAATAATAATACATTAAGTGAACATTAAATAAAAAAAGAAACGAAAATAGGTAAAATAATTATGACAATTAATTAATTGAGAAAAATTTAATAATTTAAATGTATACCTCAGATTCTCAGGCCGGAGACGGAACAAAAAAAACATCAAATATACGCTCGTCTCTTATCGTAGATACAGAAATTTGAGATTTTAAGACGAACTAAGTAAAAACATATTTTCAAAGTTTGTTTTTCATCGAACGCAAGTCGGTGGTATACACATCACACCGTTTACTGAAAGTATGCATACATAATATAGGTATATACGTATGTAATGCCTATATTAACTTGTGTACAACTCCGCCTCCTCAAAATCCATCTATGTGCTCTCGTGTTACCCGAGCAGGAGAGTTATTATGAAAAATAAAAAGGATAAAATCGTCCGAGGCTGCCATTCTATTGTCGTTTGTTGCGAATTCCGACTTCGAAATGTACAGTCCGCCTACAATGGACTTTTATTTTCCATTCTCCATCAGTCTTTGTCTCTCTCTCTCTCTATCACTATATGTTTGTTATTTTCTTTCGGGCATTTACATGTACTATTTTAGTTTTTATTTGAGTAGTTTTTAGCATTTCTTGGTAGAAAAATGTTACTCATATATTATTTCAATCGTGATTGACTTGTCTATGTGTATCACGCAAGGTACTTATTTTTAAAGATAGCAATATATAATGTGTACCGACTAATACAAAGTCCTGACCCCTTGTATATTTTTTAACGACGTCCATTGGCGTAACTAGGGGGGTGCGATGGGTCTTTAGCACCCTTTGTTTGTGTAGGTCTAACTATCATCATTATATTAAAATACCATAAATTCTATGTTTTTAAAATATGAAATATTATAGCGCCCCACGTTTTGAGGTCTAGACTCAGGGGCGTCATTTCAGTTTTTTTCCGGGTGTGCAAGATTTTAGGCAGGCCAATTTTAACATTTAACCAGGCCAACTTTAACATTAATATCTAAACAATAACCATGCCGTTTAAAGTATTTAGTATTTATTTTATCAGCTATGCTATGCTTACTCCACTATAGTTGATACCAGCAGGCTGGCACGAACTGTCTTACATAATAAAACCACAGAATAAAACTCGCTTCACACGGTTGTCAAATAGGGATACATTTGATAATAAAGCTGATAAAAAAAAAAATTTAATTACATGCATGAATCAGTGGCGCCAAAATATATATTTACTTTGCGTATGGTAAGGTAATTATAATAAATAGGTGGGTGTCAACATTTTATGTGGAGGTGTCTAATGCCATAGTTAAAATGTTGGACTTCAGCACCACTGGGCCAAGAATATTTTATTAATTTTTAATAGTAATCATATCGGCGCATAGGAGCATTAATGGAGGGCCAATTATTTATTCTATTATGTCAGTGGTGCCGTCGCACACCCTGCCCACCCCCCAAATGACGCCCCTGAGTCTAGTTGCGCCTACTATGACGACGTCACGACTAAACATTGTTGGCCAGTGTCGTAGAAACGCTCGAAGACGCGTTCCTATATTTAAACGTTATTAGCTAATAATATTATGATATATAGTAATAATTACCATGTAACTATGGCTGTATGTTTCAGGAACAAATAAAATACCAAAATAATTTCAACTTCGTGCATAATATTTGGTAAATATTATTATGTATAGATTACACATTTTTCGGTGGAACCAAAAGTTTCTTACCACACAATTCTCTCGCCGAATAAATTGAAATAGTTATTTAAATATATAACTCACAACAATTACGCTTAGAACCAGGAAACTTTTTTCAATTTTGTGTTTATCAATTTACACGCATTTTTTAAGACATAAAAAAAGTATTTCTGTTTCCTTTTTAAAAAACTTCATCGGATGTCAACTTAAATGATTACAGTTAAAAAAACATAAAAAAAAAATTGGGGAAGTAAGTCACACTGCAGTAATATTTTTAAATTGGCATTGTGTACAGATAATTATAATTTTAGAAATAGATCAATGGTTTTAACTTTTTAAGTGTCTACGTTTATTTTTTTTATACTATATACAACAATATAACAAAGATTGTTATTTTATGTTTGAATATCCAATTTTATAAAATAAATGTGACTTTACGCTAAACATTTTTTATAACTCCGGTAAGAAAAACTTATGACAATTCTTGAATTAAAATAAATCGAAAAAATTTAAAAAGTCTAAAATTTCAAACGTCTATAAATATCTCGAAAAAACCAAAATATTTTGTAAATTAAATCATACTTAGAAAAAAGTTCCCAATATAAATATTTGGAGAAAATTTCAAGTTTGTACAGTCGTGCCTAACTACACCTTATTGAATTATAAAAAAAAAAAATCGATTTAGTCAAAATATTGTGTTGGATAAATATTACCCTCATTTTTCTGAAACTTTTTTTAATTTTTCCCGATTATTTTGGTTTATTGTTATAATATGTTATCGATAAAAAAAAAAACAAACACACATGTAATTATTGTAAAATCAATACATCTATTCCACTCAGAATCTAAAATGTATTTACACCCATCATCTGTTAGTTTTTATAATTAGATAGGTTATGAATACATATGTAAGTATGATGATATATATTATTGTTTTCACTGGTAATTCTTCTGGTAAATGGCACTTAGGTCTTTTTACCTGGAAAGCTAACTTGGGTCTAAGGTTTATCAATCGATTGCCTATACACATCAAAAACCACTCTTCTGGGTGTACCAGATATAATGGGAGTTTACCAATTGCGCTTAAAATGACCTTTTCATATACCAATTGCCGGTGAACCACGATTGCGCCCAGCTTACCTTTTTCCATTCAAAAAACGCAATACGATTGCGCTCGACCAATTAGCACTGTCGCGGCAGTCTATAACCTTTTTTACCTGCATAAAACGCAACACGATTGCGCTCTAATATATATATGTGTTTGTCCCGTATATGTATATGTTATATAACAATTTTCTAGTACACTATTTAAAAATACAGTCGGACTTGGTTTTCCTTGGTTTGTGCCACAAAATTGTAATTTATACATTTGTATTATTTTTATTCTTATTATTATTATGATTAAAAAAATATTTAATTAGACATTTTTAATTAAAAAGAAATATCTATGCTAGAGCTACTATTAAAGTATTATTATTAAAAAAAAAAAAAAATTGTAACTCAAAATTTTTAACCAAGCCAACAATTTAATTTTGTTGTCAGTCCTAAGCCTGTAAAATTGGGAAGGAAAATTTTTAAGAGCGCAATCGTGTTGCGTTTTATGCAGGTAAAAAAGGTTATAGACGGGCGCAATATTGCTAATTGGTCGAGCGCAATCGTATTGCGTTTTTTGAATGGAAATAGGTAAGCCGGGCGCAATCGTGTTACACCCAGTTTACAGAATAATATATTTGTTTACCACTAGGTATAATAATAACATGATGATTAAAAAAAAGTATAATACAAATAAATGAATAGGTACACTAACCAGTCACAAGTGGAATATAGTGCCCATTTTTCAAACCATGTATCGTAAAAAGTTGGTAAAAATATTTAGAACAAAATTCAAATGTTCCATCGACAAATATTTTGTCACAACTACATAAAAATTCTAAATTTGATTTGGTAGAAAAACATACTATATTCAACATATTGTCGTTTATAAGCAATAAATTCTCATCCTTGTATGTATTCGTATCCAAATTATTTAAAGCTGTATGCACTTCGGTTATATTTTTCGGTAAAGGTGGTAGCGTTTTTCTACGAGTACGATAAACGCTTCGTCGTATAGAATGCACATCGTTTAATGTCAAATCTAAAGCACTTGATTGCACTTCATTCCTAATTAGTTTTAGTGGTCGTGTTGTAACTTGGTCTGTTGCTTTTCTTTTTAATGAATTAGCAACAATTTGTCTATTAATATTTGAACTTGCTTCGTGGTTATGATCAAAATTAGATTTTAAAAGCACCGTTTCACTTACATCACATAAAAAATTCGAAGTACACGATTTAATTGTACATCTCCATTTTATTCCATTTTTTGAGATAGTACATTTTTGAAACTAAAACTCTTCAAGAACTAATAACGGTTTACCTTTTTCACTTAAAGCTTTTGTAAAACGATCCATATTGTAACGTCAAACAACTAAAACTAATACTAAACGACTAACAAGACATAAATATTGGGTACCTATCAATACGATTTATATTTATATTGGGTATCATCAATGTGTTCTTCTATCTACAATATGTTGTGTTCAACGAAACAAATAGGCTGATAAAATATATCCGATGATAATGAAAACTTGTTTTCGTCCATCACTCAAATGCATACTTCTGTGACCAAAATATGTGTGTAATAATAATAACGTTTCATAAAATTCCCTATATTAATATATATAATAATAGGTAGGTACACTAATTTGAGCATGGCAATTTAGAATAATATAATTTAAATACAAGCGCAATTGGTATATTGACCGTAAAATATAAATAGC